CTCGGATTTGCAATCTAATGAGTTTCGTACGGAACCTTTTGCAGTTTTGTACGAAACCACGTTCAGGTTTCGCATAAATTGACGAAACTATTTAAGGTTTCGTAGGTCATTACAGAACCATTTAGGGTTTAATAGGTTTCAGCCAAACCATTTTAGGTTTCGTAGACCAAAAGGTTTCTACATTTGAAACGAATTCGAAACCTCAAGCAGAAAAGGGTTTCGTTAGGAACCATTTTTTTTTAGAGAGTACGGTATACATCCTCTGAATTTACTACCTGACTCGCTATTTATACTGATTTTCTCTTTTCAGATAAAGATTATAACAAGATCAAAGCATTGTCTGCTCGCCTTAAAATTTGATTGCACTATGTTCTCGAAGAAAAGTCCGAGTAAAACATAGTGCAATCGTAGATACCAAACGGTGACGGAAAAAATGTGAAACTAGTACGTACCGGTGCAACATAGCATACCGTCCGCACTGGTAGTGCCGCACTTTTTTCAGTACTATACTGGGATTTTTCTGTAGGAGATTCGATCATGTTTCTCATAAGAATCTGATAAGAATAGCGTACGAGTTTTGCTGACTCTTACCAATTTCTTATGAATTATTGTGAGATTCTTATAAGATTCAGCAGAATTCTTGTCACTTTCGTGGAAGATCTTATATAAGAATTAAGTAAGATTCTTATAGAAGGACTGATGACTAGGGTTATTGAATTGCTTCATTGTTTTGCTATTCCAACCAACAATTCTTTTTTTGGTTCTGTGACTTATGGAATGGACAAATTTAGTAACAAATTATAACGTAGTGAACAGATACGTTCAGGAGGGCGTTTGATAAAAATTTTTACGTGCTCGACTTAACTAAATCAGACTTAAGTGTACAAAATGAAGACTTAAGTCTAGATTTAGTTAAGACAAGCACTTAAGAATTTTTATGAAACCTGAGACTGAGGAATTTTTCAGTAGATTAACTTTCTAGACAAAATGGCTACGCCACTAATTAAGTTGCTTCTATTGGCTGGAAAATTTCACAAGACTTTTCGGTACTTGTTCTTCGATACTACTCTTTCGGTACTTCTTTATTGTAACAGCTTAATTATTTGTGTAAGTGCTTCATGATCCAACATTCTCAATATTAACCGGGCCCTTGGATGTTTTCAAAACTGATTTTCGACTTGATGATGTGCGAGAAATTATAATTTTATCTTGCTGTTCATCTTCCTGGTCTTCTTGTTGCTAAAATCAGACATAAAAAAACTCAATTACAATACAAAGGCTTTTTGTCAAAAATGTAACATCATACCTGAAACGTTTCAAGTGAATCACTAAACGATAGTCTTGTTCTTTTGGACGACATCGATGTAGACGATATATTTAAAGCAGACGATAACTGTGTTCTGGTAAAATTAAGCAGTGATTCATCCAAATCGAAAGACGATAAAGCGTCGTCACCATGTTCACTGCCATGCGTCGAATTCATCTAGAGTACGAAACAAAAAAAAGAACAACTTATTTTCACTTACAAAAGACATATTTTTACCTCGTTATCAAATGAACAACTCATCTCCTCTTGATCGTTCTTACTTGACAAAGGATAAGGATCGAAATTACTTTTTCGATCACCGTCACTTGATTGGAACGAGTTTTCGTCGTCCTGATCGTCAGCACCAGCATTATAACCATTAATATGCCCTTCATCATCAGTCACTAGAAGACGAGGGATCACTATTGCTTGGCTGAACATATTCGTTGTCTGAAAAACGCAAAAAAGATAGTGAAGAGAATGAGGAGAGTAAACACTATATTTTTACTTACAAACCATCTTTGCTTTGGTACAAAAACAGGGCAATTTGAACAGCGGACTTTGTCACACAAACAATAGAGTGTACAGGGTAGACCGTTTCTACCACAACTACAATTGTGACAGTCACCTTTGCACTTGCCACAGGTATGTAATCCAGGATCTGTCGGAACAGGCAATTTAGAAGTCCATTTGATTTTCAATCGTCCATCAAGCATTTCAAAGCCACAATCTATTAATTCTGGATAAAGAATATTATTTTTCATCGCATTTTGCCAAATATATATTGTCTACTCACACGTAAACAGTAGTAGGAAAGTGCGTCACTTGACGGTGGTAACATAGATGCGATGATTGTTTTGTTTGACTGCATTTAATGCCATCATCGCACGTAAAGTGTCAATTGAGTCAGTTTTTTGTTGCTGTTGTCTCGGCATCGACGGTGGTGCTATTTGGGGCGAATGAGACGATAATTGTGAAAAAGCACGACGACGATTATTACATAAACAGTCGATTATTAATTGTTCTACGAGTTTAATATCATTTTGTGATGATGGCAATTCTTTAAGTCCAACAAGATCATTATATTCATGACTGTTGTTGAATAATGTTTGAAAAAATGTTGTTTTACTGATATTGCGAAGTCGAAGCCAGATAGAGCATACACATTCATCAATACGATCGGTAAGACGTTATGTTTATCAATTCTTTTTGGACACTGTACAGTTCATGTATCGAGATTATTTGTCTCTTCTTGGTAGTGAATAATCTACGGATATGATTGAAATTCGCATAAGTGAAGCATAATAAATGCATAAGAAAATAATATCTGTATCAAGCGATTTAACAACAATTTTGTCATAAACATTACAGTCTTCAACACCATTGATTATTTTATCAATATGCAACATCATACGTGTATCGGCTTCGATCTGATTACTTTTTAACTCAATCGAATTTACTGTTTGTGAATTCTGTAAAATATAGGCATTCTCATCCGGTCCAGCTACTACTAGACATGTATTGTCTGGTAAACATTCTACCACCTCTTGTAATAACCAACATTTCACAACTGCAGCAGCTAAAGTTGCTCGATTTCTAAAATGAGATATAAAAAAAAGAGAGAAAGTGAATGTAAAATTTGAACAATAAGCATACCCTCCTCGTAATAATTCGTCGTATGCTTTTCCTGATGGTAATTTTGTATCAGTTTTAAAATCGTATTTTACCTTTCTAGCCTCTTCTTTATGGCGATTTGCAAACATTTTCATATCTGCACTCCATTAGCGCAAAATCGACTTTTTATACGGGGAACAGAATCGGTCCAAATTTTTTTTCTGAAGAGCTTATTATGTGAATCGACAGGCAGCAAAGTATCTCTTGATTCAAATCACTTTTCACATTTTGGCGCGAATAGTAGCGCGTTTTAAGTGGCGCCACTATTCGCGCCAAAATGTGAAAAGTGATTTGAATCAAGAGATACTTTGCTGCCTGTCGATTCACATATAAGCTCTTCAGAAAAAAAATTTGGACCGATTCTGTTCCCCGTATAAAAAGTCGGTTTTGCGCTAATGCAGACACGAGTCGAACACAATATCAATTCGATGAAAGTATTTGAAATGAGGATAAATTTTGGTTTCTAATAGATCCAAAGCTTAATAATAGACGGTTTTTTGATCTCGAATTTTCATAATTCTGGAAAATAGAGATCGACTTTCCACGTTTCTTGTAAAATCGATTTTCTACAATCTAGAAAATCCTCGAGGAATTTATATATGGACTTTTTGAAAATGATCGAGCATTTTCTATAAATAAACCCTGACATTACGGTGTACAAAGAACGTCAGTGAGAGAATGGGCGTCACGGTTAAGTCAATAGTACCCATCCAAGAAAACCTTAATTAGAGACCACTGATTAGTTTTTTGGAGAGAATTGAAGAAGTCAATAAGAGTGTTACATGCTAGAACAAATAATCAAATGATTTACTCTAAACGAAGAGTCTTTTGTAGGCGAAGCTATTTCTATGCAAGAGGAAAAGTACTTTTTATAGTATAGTCCTCTGTAAATAAATAATGATATACCTATGCGTTTTCCTTCTGCACTTATGCGTGATATATGATCATCGCTGCCATGGCCATTTTTTCCGGCTTGGTGTCTCTATTTATATACGTATACCTCGATAATGATAGAATGTAAAATAAAACCGTAAAGAATCTTTCTAATATGTTAGAGTAAAAGTTTATTCCTTTAAATAATTCTTTTGTAGCTCGAATTTATTCGGCTACTGCGTCTTTGCTTTTCTTAGAAAAATAGTGCATTTGTGTGTTATCCAAGTTTTATTTTTACAAATAAAACAATTTCCATCGTTTTCTGTCCACGGACTATACAGTCATTAAATAATGCAGTGCATGTCAAAGCATCAAAAAAGTTCACTTTTTGCAGGCATTCCACTTTCTTAATGCGTGCAAAGCCCTTTGTCTTTATAGCGCATTCTTTCGAACGGATAAAAAAGTTTGAATGCCTTCAGATGGACTAAGAAAATTCATTATGTACATGCGTTTCATTTTTCAATCTATGCGAAGACGTTCACAATTACACCAGGGCTTAACACGAATTAAGATGTGGAACGCGTGCAACGTCATGACTAATATTCACTATCTGAGTGCGTTCGACAATTTTTTTTCATGTATGTAAAGGCGTTCGTAATTACATTGCACTCCTTCGAACCCATTAAAAGCCTTCATTTTAACGCTTTCGAATTTTCTAATGCGAACAAATATCCGCAGGCTGCGAAAACCTTCTTTTGACACATTCCAAGCCTTCCGAAGGCTTAGTTTTGTCCATTTTTGGACAAAATAATGCGTTCGGACACATTTTTGGTATAAAATTCAGATTTAACACATTGTAAGGCTTCGGACCTACGATTCAGGTTCGATTTTTGTCCTTTTAATGCGTTCACACGTATTAGCAGCGCGAAATTGTCTACTTTAATGTGTTCGAATGCCTTATTGTGACACATGAATCTAACTTATGCGAACTTCTTAATACATTAAAAGGACTTGCGAAGGTCCAAAATTTCTTCCTGGGATCATAGCCGTTATGGCATTCTGCAGACTCAGTAGTAAACGCTTCTTGGGCCTAAAAAATTTAACGGCATTTCATAAACTAAGACTAACACAAACATTATAGATTTTGCGTATTCGTTATCTGTAAAAAAACCTTGAGGCAAACGTATGCAGCAAAGTTGAGAGAGGGCGCTGTGTGAAAAGAGATAGTCATGTTTTAATTTACAAGAAGCATATCAATACATAGGTGATTTTTTCTTGAGGTGTTGCCAACTTGAGACTAGTGGGATTTTGTAGCCCATGGTCGACTGAGTGGATCAGCACTAGTTTGGCTCCGACGTATGGGCGACACTCCAGCAAAATAAATTAAAATAAAATTTGCAGCGGAATAAACGAGAAAAAAATAAAAATTAAGCGCTGATTCGAACCTCGATGCTCGCTTATCATAAGCGTAGTATTTAACCCATTTTGCCATCAGCGCATATCAACAGATAAGTATATTTCTCACTTATTCTGTTCTTTTCCTCACCAAAGAAGAAACTGGACTATGTATACTTTTTAAATCAGCATAACATAATTCTTTTTAGACCAAACTGCAATCTGTTTTACTCGCCAATTGTCTTCGAGAACAGATCACAGGATAATAATAAGGCAAGCAAGAGAAGTTGCATTTTTCATAGCCTCATATTCTTTCTGCTTGCTTTTCAGTGGTCTAACAAATTTCATTAACTTTATTCAAAAGAGAGTAAAAGAAATTCGACTAAAACCTCAACTCGACTACAAAAAGTATAATCACTTTTGAAAGTTCTTCATAAAGACAGCGAACACAGTCAGCAGTATTTTATACCGCACAATGTTCACGAGAAGAAATACACAAATGTCGTGGGCATACCAATAAGGTATCCATGACATTCTGACAAACAAGATAACCTAAAATAAAATAAAGTTCTCGCTATCATGTAGGAACACCCTGCCTGAGCCGACGGGCCGGAGTAGAGAAACTAGCTATGTAGTCGGGATCCCTATGGTCTAAAACTCTTGTACATTTAATAGGAATGCCACCTTTTTCCATAAAACTTCGACAGTTGCCACCATATTGTTTTTCGCTACAGGACAGGGTTACTGCTCTTTCATTGGCGCTAAATTCGGCCTATACTGATTTTTTCAAAAACCGCATATTTCGCTCATTTCTCATTCAAGTAGACTCATATTTTAGGAAATGATTAGCAGAGATCAGAGAATGTGGAACTGGTCGAAAAACATTGGACCTAAACCTTGGTTGTGTGGAAGGTTTTCTAGATATCCGCTAAAACACCGTGTACGACCAGTTCCACATTCTTTGATCTCTGCTAATTTTTCGAAAATTTGAGTCTACTTGAATGAGAAATGAGCGAAATATGCGGTTTTTGATCTTTGATGGTAACAGGCGGTTCATCAGTATGGCTTTGCTGAGGTTGTGATTGAGTGGAGAATGAAAAACACATCGTCGCGACGATCAGCATACTCGATTACCTATGATCCACGTGTTTTTGAGATTTCCAGACGTATCTGGAACCAGACAAATGTGTCGTCAGAAAACGTCTGTATCTCCTGAATCCAAGGAGACGAAGGTCTGGACCTTGCCTGCTTTTGAGGGGTGATGTTCTGGTTATCGACTGGTGTTATTTGAGATTGGATTTCATAGTGTAATTTGGAAAGGCAATCTTTCGGATTTTGTCTCGAATGATACACCATAGTAAACCCTATCGGAAGCCCTGACTTTTTCATAGACCGACGTGCCCTGTTGTCTAGTTTCTAAAACTGAAAACCGCAGATCGCTATCACCTTTCGTTATCGAGTTAATTTGAATTTTTATCTTGCTTTTTTCTATAGAGAAAAACGGAAGTGTTATTCTTCTCTTCGGTCTTTTTTCTCGTTCTATCTGTGGAAGCTATATGTACCATTCCAGTGTTACACGCACACTGAACAAGCCATTCTCAGTGTGCAACAACAGTTCTACGTGATGTGCACATTCAATGTGTTCCGGGCACACTTTATTTGTTACAGTGTAGGTGCAAATGAAACTCGAGCTTCCAGTGCACGCCGAAAGTTTTGCCCGCAAACAAACTCGTTCATCTCACACATAGCAAGAACACAAGGAAAAGTGATACCATTATTATACATAGTACTCACTGGCAATCCATTATTCATATTCAACTTGGCCATTTCTTGTCGTTTTTTCAGATTAATTAAGTAATAAAAGTGAGTCCACATTTTTTACTAACGCGTGCGGCAGAATAAATGACCCTCTCAGTATTTTCTATTTTACTCGTATTTCTTTAGGACCCTAACGATGCGCCTCGAAATACTCTACAAAACCATACTTAAACTTTAATTTCAGAACTTCAATCAAGAAAACTACGAAAATTATACGAAAGACGAAAAAAATCAAAACTTTCCAACTCAAAAATGATTTCTTGTGTTAACATTTTGAAAGTGAGAAAACCTGAATCTACCATTATGTAGTCCTAACTTCGCTCTACCTTTTAGCTACACTTCAAATTTTTTCAAGAAAAGTCCTATAACTCCATCAAAACAAAACATTTTTCGATCGGGTTTGTTTTGTTTTGATCAGAAATGACTGCTCTTCTCTATCTAACTGCAAAATCAAAACTTCAATCATGTTTTCCGTCTCTTGCTTGGGCCCATTGTTGGAAACCGCGACTGTCAATTTTTGACGTATTTTTGTAACTTCGTTCTCCAGCACATCATCTTCTCTAAAAAAATTCTTTTACAGACCACGAGAAAGAGCACATTCAAAAGTACAAAAAGAACTGCGTTCTCACTTTTCTACGCTCTTCTATGGAAATAATAGCAGAAAAGAAAGTTTTGATTTTTTTCGTCTTTGGTATAATTTGCGTAGTTTTCTTGATTGAAGTTCTGAAATTAAAGTTTAAGTATGGTTTTGTAGAGTATTTCGAGGCGCATCTTTAGGGTCCTATAGTAGTATCAATGCATGAAAAATGGTAAACTATTGACGACTAGGAAAAAAATGGCTATATGCTCAGCCAAATTCAGATAAGCATATTTGTAGTGCTAAACGTGCTCTACAATTGGGCGTTAGCCGTTTTTCAGTCGTTGAAATTTTCGACAACGAAGTTCAGCAGTATCATATGATAAATGCGGTCGGTTTTTTACCATATCTCGTCTAAGATACATTAGAAAATGTTGAAACTTGCTCCTATGGGATAAAAGAATAAAATTAATCATATACCCGGTCCCTAGCAATTGCTTACATATGCTTTTGTATGATGAAAAAGAAAAAAGAATTGCTTTTTTAAATGTATTCGTTTTCATTTTGATTTTATTCGTATTCATATGGAACGTTCGAATTGATCTATTTCGTTATTAGCTATTTCCAGTGTTGTATATTTTCGCTGTTTCCTTCTACTAAATTGTTAGTGCGTAAATGATGAGGTCCTAGATTCCAATATTTTGGCGATACTTTTTGTACCCACTGTTTATCAAAATATTTTAAAAATTTTGCTGGTAGACCATTATCTGATGGCAAATTTTCACGCAGCAATGTAATTGCACCCGTGATTACATCTCCATCAATTAATGTAATGTCCATGAACGATCTTAGCCATTGACAAACACTATCGTTTTCTTCGTATAATGTACTTAGCCCTAATTTTTGAATTTTACGGTACAGACATTGAGTATAATGAAACCAACAGCCACGAATGGTTGCAGCTGGAAACTATTAATAAACAGAAAACATTTAAAAAAAAAACCTTTGCGTACAGCAGCTGCAAGTGTCTTATTTTTAGCGTACATACTTCACTTTCCACAGCATTTATACATGCTTGTTCAAAGTCTAAATACACAAATTCTAGCGCAAAGGTTTCGCGATATTTTTCAGCTTTGCTCTTCAATGTTGAAAATATTTCGTTATAAACAAGCTCATAACGAGCAGAAGTCAAAACCCAAACAAGTGGTAGACCTACATAAAGTTGATACAGTTGATGTGTAAAAACTAAAAAATCACTCAATCAAATACTAACCTTCTCCGAGATGCTTTCCCATTATTACTGTTCAAATAGAATGGGTCGTGTTTTGAATGCCCCATCCATTAAAATAACTTCACAATCAAAAAGAATTGTTAGCAATTTTTTAGTTGAAAAAATCGGTAAACGACCACGCAGTGATCATCTGTGTTATCATAAATTGCAAATTTCTCATCATTAAAAGTTCTGCGATAAACTACCGGAATATCAAATGTTTGATCGTTTGGAGGGGGCGGTATTTGTTTCGATCGTAATTTATATAATGCACTAGCTACATAGAACAAACGACAAGTAATATAGACATCGTGTCAGTTTCGTCTGAACTGAAGACAGTTAGAATTACTTCACGCACCTTTTGCTTCTGGTA